CTGTCCCTGTGACTGTATATTTTCCATGTGCAAAACTATAAATATATTGTTAAAAAAAAAAATATCTTGTCTCTCCCTTTGTCTGTTCCCTTCCAGCTAAAAGATGTCCCACTCTGAACTCTCCCTCTCATGGGTCTTTATCCTGCTCTGATCCTCATAAAGCGTTCAGTTTTGGTTCCCGGTGCACATCAACCTGTGAGGAGGGATTTGTCCTGAATGGGGTGGCTGACACAGAGTGCACCTCTCTGGGCACGTGGAGCAGAGACATCCCTCGCTGCTTAGGTACAAAAAAAAAAAATAAAAATAAAGTGTAAATGTCTGTATCGTTTTTTGTTTACACAGTCAGCAGAGGAACTCTTAATTTTTATGGCCTAGGTTGCTTGACTGTACATCTTACCATGTAAAGCACTTATTGGTTTCTCATTGTTCCACTTCAGCTAAGAGATGTCCCACTCTGAGCTCTCCCTCTCATGGCTCCTTAGTCTGCTCTAATCCTCATGGAGAGCTCAGTTTTGGTTCTCGGTGTAATACAACATGTGAAGAGGGCTTTCTCCGGAATGGGACGGCAGACACAGACTGCACTTCTCTGGGCACGTGGAGCGCAGACATCCCACGTTGCTTGGGTAAAACAATCCTAGATGTCTGTATCATAATCTGTTTATTGTAATCAACATAAAAGCTTGTAATATTGTTTTAATACCACTTGACCTCATAAAGCTCTAAAACATATTGTTGGTCTCTTCTTCTACCTGTTTTACTTCCAGCTAAGAGATGTCCCACCCTGAACTCTCCCCCTCATGGTTACCTATTCTGCTCTGATCCTCATGAAGCATTCAGTTTTGGTTCTCTGTGTAATGTAACATGTGAGAAAGGTTTTCTCCTGAATGGGCCGGCAGACACGGACTGCACCTCTCTGGGCACATGGAGCACAGACATCCCACGTTGCTTGGGTAAGTATAAAGTATAAAATATATTAATATCATAATCTGGTGATTATAATCCAAAGGAAAAAATCTAAATTTAATGATTTAGATGTCTTGAAAGTAATATTAAATATCTTTGTCTCTCCCTTTGTCTGTTCCCCTCCAGCTAAAAGATGTCCCACTCTGAACTCTCCCTCTCATGGTTCTTTATCCTGCTCTGATCCTCATAAAGCGTTCAGTTTTGGTTCCCGGTGCACATCAACCTGTGAGGCGGGATTTGTCCTGAATGGAGTGGCTGACACAGAGTGCACCTCTGAGGGCCAGTGGAGCACAGACATCCCACGTTGCTTAGGTAAAAGCAATCTCTGTATCATAATATGTTGATCGTAATCTACAGAAAAATTCTTATTTTTATGGTTTAGAAGGCATGACTGTACCTCTTTACCAAGCTTTTAAATATCTCTGTCCCTCTTGGTTTCTCTTCCAGCTAAGAGATGTCCCACTCTGAACGTATCCTCTCATAGCACCTTAGCCTGCTCCAATCCTCATGGAGAGTTCAGTTTTGGTTCTGAGTGCACATCAACCTGTATGGAGGGTTTCATCCTGAATGGCACTGCTGACACTCAGTGCACCTCTCTGGGCATGTGGAGCAGAGAAATACCCCATTGTCTGGGTAATAAATCATAATATGAGGGGGCTGCACTTGACATATATTCCCTCTTGCAGGATGCACATTGATGTATACTGATTTAGAATGGGGGTTTTCATGTGCCCATTCATTCATATGATAATCAACACAACAGCTATATCATTAACTTGTCACATTTTGAATCAATAGTTATGTCTTGAAGGAAATCCCTCTTTATGCCACTTTGTTTCAGAAGATTATTTGGTCTGAAGCTGATGATCATACGTTTTGGTCAATTTTATCTACAGCACACCCATGCCCCCTACTGGCCAAGCCTCCACAACATGGAAGGATGAACTGCAGCCATCCATACTCCCCTTTCAGCTATGGCTCCCACTGTGACATTGAATGTAATAAGGGTTTCAGGCTAAGAGGAACTTCAAGTATGACATGCAACAACTCAGGCCACTGGAGTCAGGATCTTCCCACCTGCCAGCGTGAGTGCCCAGCGTTACTTTAAACTAAGTTTTGGCTTGCTGTTCTAGGATTCAAATAACTCATTGTTGTAAGTAATTACAATTTTTGTCCTTTCCACATCTCAGCTGTACAGTGCAAGGCCATTCATGTCGTGTATTTGCCCCTGTCTGTGAACTGCTCCCATCCTCTGGGGAACTTCAGCTTTGGCTCCAAGTGTCTTTTCACCTGTGGGGAGGGATTCTCCCTGAATGGCACAGAGGTGCTGTATTGCTCCTCCACTGGGTTTTGGAGTGACCGTCTGCCTAACTGCACAGGTACAAATAATTTTTGTCAGCATGCTAACATGCTCATAATGATGATGCTAACATGGTGATATTAATCAGGTATAATGTTTACCACGTTCACCATCTTAATTTAGTATGTTAACCAACTTATTGGACATAAATCTTAACCTTATGGTGGCTCTAGAGGAAAATAAAGTGTTGAGGGTGACATGAATGTGTGTAGAAAATTTCATGGCAATCCATTCAAGAGTTTTACTTAAAACCACAAATGTGAACCTGCTGGTGGCACTAGAGGAGAAGGCTGTAGGTATGGAAATTTAAAAAATAGTGACGATTGATCTGCTGACCAAAAAACCTGCAGTAAAAAAAACACGTATTTACTGTGATCTTTATGTGTTCCAGTGAATGGTATGCCGTTGGGGACTGCCATGCTGATGTATGCAGGTGTAGGAGCAGCCTCTGTTGTTGTGCCACTCGCCCTGATAGGACTTGCTTTGTTGATTATGACACGATTTAAGAAAAAAGGTGAGACCTACTGTGATGATGCTGTACGGTTTCACGCATACAGCATGTTGTAGCACTCACAGTATATGATTGATCCTTATTTCTGATCTTTGCAGGAAATAAGGTTAGGTCTGATGCACCAGCATGGGGAGCCAGAGAGAATCCAGCATTTGAATTTTGATTTTTTTGTTGTTTTCTAAGACTTGATTTTTGCAGCAAATCATTTCAAACACTGCAACATAATGCTTGCTATTATTATATATAGATTCCTATTGTGTGATACTGGTACCAAAGGATTACAGAGGGATTAGAACTTCAATCATATCAAATAATAATCAACATTTTACATGAAAACCTTCACCTTTTGTTTTTAAAGAACCCAAATCATGATACACAATTGATGCATGATATATTACATAAAGTAACATTTGTGTGGAGTTTTTTCTGCTGCTTGTATAATGCTTAATTTTCAATAAAAACATATCTTCATATCAACAAACCTTTTATTTTATTTTAGATACCCAATATTGCACATTAAGTATGTGATCAATGTTGGCAATCTTTCAACAATGTTCAGTGTCATTTGGTGTAGTAAGAGGTGACTCTGTCTTGCTGGTGCCCTCCCTAGCAGCTCAGTTTACCCACATTTGACCTCCCCCATAGGAACTTATACTGTAGGGTCAACTGGGGAAGTGGCAGAAAACCTCTGAGATTGCCAAACTGTCACAAAGTGTCAATTTAGCACATTTAGTGGCCAGAAATCTCCTGCCACTGAGTGGTGAGGAGGTGATCTATTATCAGTCTCAACTCAATGTGTCACACTGGGCAGTGATCCCATATTAAGGAGCAATTCACTACCCCATCTTCATCTGAATGATGAAATATCGACTGTATGGCTGTACCTACTGTATAGAATACTCCTTGTGTATCTGTGCCAATAGTATACCCCCAGACTTTTAATATGAGCAGCAAATGGCCAATGGAATACCTTCAGCAAAGTGTGTGCATCTGTCTTGGCGCTGCAACAGCATGAAGCCAATTATAGCGGTTAAAAGACAGAGGGTTTGTGGCCTGTGGTTGGCATGGAGGGTGCAATAAATAACCGAACTGTTGACAGGAAACTGTTTGGCTACCGTCAGAATAATAATGAGGTTATTGCTACCTGCTGTGACCGTATGATCACGGTTTGATTATTTTTCTCATCCCACCCACTGCTGCTGGCAACCATATATGCGTGCCAACTGCACACAGACTCGCACACAAGAAGGGAAAAGGCCCCGCAGGTGACCACCTTGGCTTCCTTCCCTGATATTTAAGTCGGGCTTTTCTCCCTTCATCTACCTCTAAAGATACAAGGAAATGCATTATGATACTTTAGTCCCAACAACAAAGAGTGTTGTTCCTCCCAACACATGAGCATGCACACATGCACATGCCAGCAGACACTTAGAGCAGATACAGACACAGATACAAAGGCAGACTCAAAGAAACACACTCAGTATACCCTGCTGCACACTTCTTTAGCTCTGGCTGGCAATAGCATACCACGGTGACAGACAGTTAGATTGTTCCTGACCATTGACTTGCGCTCTCTGCTCTGCAAGGTCTGATTTCATAGTGGGAAATATGAGATGGGTCCAGGAGAGGGTTCATGGCTGGGGCAAGGAGGCACTCCATACAGTGGGTCTTCATATCTCTGTGTCACCCTGGGCATTCTCCCCTGACACAGCTTTCAGCCCCTCCGTTGTCTGGAGCCCCCTCCCTGGGGTTTCTCAGCCTTCCTCCCCAGGATTGGTGCATTCCAGCTGGGCACAGTGCCTGGGTGGTCCCCCCCACCTCCCATCCTCTACGACTGGAGGAAGGAAAAGGCAGAAAAATGCAGCAAGGGCCTTTGACCGCGAGGAGCACAATGTGAGCGTTGATGATGGCGGCATGGATGTGATGCTTACCTGCCACTGACCCATACAGCTGTCATAGCCCCGCTTTTTACAATCTGATGATCCACCCAACAGCCAGGGGAAGATGCCTCGCTGACCTGTCACCTAGATTGGACTGATAAGCACCGAGGATGGACTGACCTGGCTCTGACCCTCAGCATGAATACCCTATCTTCATAATAAATCAGCCTGTGCTTCATACTCACTACGCCACTCATTTTATACTGGACATTCACTGTATCATAACCATTATTTATTGATCATTGTTGATTCATTCAAGATGAACAGCATACACACATTGTGAGAATAAATACAAATGCACACCCAAAAACAGCTATTTACATTAGTAGATGCAGATATAATCTCATGATCTAACATTCAAACATAGTGAAAGAGGTATCATGCCTACACAGGAGCCTGTGTTGTACAGTGGGATTGTAAAGCATAAGAGGCAGTAGTGTAATCGTGTTTATATGGAGGTGCACATGGTATATTGCATGGTATCACAGTGTACCCATGTCCCCTTGGCGGTAATTTTGCAACCACTTCTTCAACCTTGTGCACAGATAAATGATGAGACCACAGAGTGGTGCAGAGTGAGGGAGACGCACCGCTTCTCACCGAGTCCCATCTCCACCCTCAGGAGGTGAAGTAAGAGTCCTGCATGGAGTAGAGGCGGTCAATAGGGGTGAGCAGAGAAGAGTCACCCAGGGACAGGCAGTCGCTGTCAGCCACATGACACAGAGGGTCCCTGTCCATATCACCGTACAGACCCTTGAAACCTAAAAAATACACAACATCATTAATCACTGGATACTTAGACTGTAATCTGAACATTGGTTGGTTGAAAGTGGGACTCTACTGATTTTACTCATTAAGTTCAGCTTATTTATTACTAGGAGTACTATTAAGCCTGTGAAAACAGTTTGGTGCTATCAAGTTGCATTTTGGGAAATGTAGGACTGATATCTCCACCTCTGCTTTACCACGTTTAACCAATTTTACTAAATTGCTGAAGTACCCACTTTAAGTAAAAATATAATTTGTTATAATTCTAAAAGACTTTTAAATTTGCATTATACAAAATAATAGAAACAACTGACAATATAATAAAATACAATACAAAAACCCTGCAATACACACTGGCTTTGTAAAGAGTATCATGCACCATTTTAATAAGGGGTTGATTCTGGTCATTGTTTGTGGTTTTGTTAAATTACATTATATTCTAATATGTAATTTCACTGTTACATTCCATTACTTTGTTCACCCACAATATATCATTACTTATGACATTATTTTGGACAGCCGAATAGAAAATTGAATGAAATTGGAGCTACTCCACAAATTGAATTGCATGTAAAGAGTCAATAAGAGACTGTTTATGAGTACATTTACATTTACTCAATATTAGCAACATTTTAAACACATTTGTAAACATCAAGTAATATTTAACCCAAAAAAGCAGTGACGTTTTTGCATTTAAACCATTTAATTGGTCACGTACTAAAAAGGAAATGTGAGTTATGTGCAAGGACAAAGAGCAGTGACCCAGCTACAATGCTGAAGCTAACTGGGATCTAATATATATATATATTATTGACTATTTTGACTACTGACAAAAATAACACATTGTATGTCTTTATAAAATCTGAATTCTTAGTTTTACTAATCACAGAAGCTTTGTAGAACAATACTTAAAACATGTAATTATCCATCATGGTTTGACAGCACTGAGGTCTTTACCATAGGGGTGCATGTGATCCCCTGGCATCTGAGGAGGGGTCAGGCCCTGTCTGAAGGGGTCCATGTCATAGTCCTGCTGCTCCAGTGTGGTGAGTCCCATCTGGTGCTGCTGCTGAATGTGGGTATAGGAGGACCCTAGGCGCTCCATCTCAGATGTCAAACTACCACGGGAGGGCGCTGTGGGGCACAGGAGTCACACAGGAGCTGGTGTTTACTGCTGTGGTTTACACTCATGTCTTTTTTTCGTGAGCTTTTGTGCCCCTGCTCCTGCCTTTGTAATGATTACTCAATTCTGTCTGCTAAAAGATACTTTAAAAAACTCCTTATATTCTACAAAATGTTGTAAAATATCTTTCAGCATATGGCGTTTTCTTTCTTTGAAAATTAGTTATAAAGAATAGACTTTATCTTTAGGATATCATATCATAGGGGAGTAATAAAGCACATTTAAAAAAAAATTCCAACAGTGCAATACCTGTGTGATGTGATGGGTGCTCACGCTGCTCCTGAGTCTGCTGCTGCTGCTCCTGCTGCTGAAGCTGTCTCCTGGCCAGTTTCTTCATCTAAAAAACATGCACCGGCAGACAAAAAGCTCACAAACAGGCCTAGTGTAAAACATTTTTCTCACTCCACAGTCCCTCTGCCACCCAGGCATACGAGTGTGTTCACTCAATTGCAAAGTATTAACAGTCAGCTAAAGGACATCTTTCAGTGGTGGAGGGAAGCCACACATGAGCCCACTTTGTGAGGAAATATGGGGTTTAATCTACAGTGATCTCGCAGTGAGATGTCATCAGTTTCCTGTATGAAGAGATAGCCAGGCTGATTTCCACTCTGGCATACAAACACAGTGCAGAAAGAGTTCTTTTATTAGTAGCGCATATGACTATGTGTGTGTGTGTGAGTTTGTGTGTGTGCGTGTACTTTGTATTACTTTGGCTCTTTGGTTCTGGAACCAGACCTGCACAACCCGGACGCTCAGACCAGTCTCTGCTGCCAAGGTCTCCCTTACCTTGGATCAAGATTCAGGGGGAGGGAGAAAGTAAGAAAGGGAGGGTAAAAAATAGGAAAATAGAAACAGAGAAGAGGTCACTTGAAGGTTAAAAAATCGGAATCACCAATCCGCCTCAAACAAGGAGGAAAAGATAAAACCTTTATTAAATATATAATATATTTCAAGAAAAGAAATGACTCCTAATTGACTTGACTTTTGGATATTTTTTTGGGAAGTTATGTTTGTAATGTACAGCACTACTATATGCAGTAGATAGCTGAAATCCTGCCACTAATTAACTAACCTCTATAATTTAGCAATGAGGAGTTATTTCTTTGGTCTTTGTGAGAAGCATGATTACACAATACGGTTTTCTGTTCATATTCTGAGGTAGACTCCTCTACTTTGAAGATCTCATCATTAAACAAAACTATATAAAACAACTATTCTATACTATAACACTGTTGGATGCTTATTTTTAAGGTTAGCGTTTGTCCTCATTAAAATTACAACATTGTAGCATTGCAGTGAGAATGTTGACAGAAAACAACAATATAGACTCCCTCTATGCAAACATACGTTGTGAAATGTCATATCCAGAACAGAAACTATGAAGTCCAGACTACTGGGTGAACACAGAATAAACACAGTACCTTTCGGCAAGGCTTGGATGAGACCTCAAATGAGGCTTTGAAGGTCCGTCTTTGTTGAGTGGTCAGTATAGTACGTGGTCTTTTGGGACGTTTGCTCTCCAGGTCTTCTGATCTAACTCGTCGGCCTGTAACCCTCCCAGATTCCACCTCCTCTTCTTCTTCCTC